CCAGTATTAAAACATAGTCAATATACTGTCCAGTATCAATAAAAAGTCAATATGAAATCCAGTATCAATACATAGTCAATATAAAGTCCATTATCAATACATAGTCAATATACTGGCCAGTATCAATACATAGTCAATATATAGTCCAGAATTAATACATAGTCAATATACTGTCCAGTATCAATAAAAAGTCAATATGAAATCCAGTATCAATACATAGTCAATATAAAGGCCAGTATCAATACATAGTCAATATAAAGTCCAGGATCAATACATAGTCAATATACTGTCCAGTATCAATACATAGTCAATATACTGGCCAGTATCAATACATAGTCAATATATAAGCCAGTATCAGTACATAGTCAATAAGCAGTCCAGTATCAATACATAGTCAATATATTGTCCAGTATCAATACATAGTCAATATACTATCCAGTATTAATACATAGTCAATATACTGTCCAGTATCAATACATAGTATATACAGTTCAGTATCAATACAGGGTCAATATATAGTCCAGTATCAATACATAGTCAATATATTGTCCAGTATCAATACATAGTCAATATACTGGCCAGTATCAATACATAGTCAATATATAAGCCAGTATCAGTACATAGTCAATAAGCAGTCCAGTATCAATACATAGTCAATATATTGTCCAGTATCAATACATCGTCAATATACAGGCCAGTATCAATACATAGTCAATATAAAGTCCAGGATCAATACATAGTCAATATACTGTCCAGTATCAAAACAAAGTCAATATAAAGTCCAGTATCAATACATAGTCAATATACTGGCCAGTATCAATACATAGTCAATATATAAGCCAGTATCAGTACATAGTCAATAAGCAGTCCAGTATCAATACATAGTCAATATATAGTTCAGTATTAATACATAGTCAATATACTGTCGAGTATTAAAACATAGTCAATATACTGTCCAGTATCAATGCATAGTCAATATACAGTCCAGTATCAATACATAGTCAATATATTGTCCAGTATCAATACATAGTCAATACACAGGCCAGTATCAATACATAGTCAATATATAAGCCAGTATCAGTACATAGTCAATAAACAGTCCAGTATCAATAGATAGTCAATATACTATCCAGTATTAATACATAGTCAATATACAGGCCAGTATCAATACATAGTCAATATATAAGCCAGTATCAGTACATAGTCAATAAACAGTCCAGTATCAATACATAGTCAATATACTATCCAGTATTAATACATAGTCAATATACTGTCCAGTATTAATACATAGTCAATATACAGTCCAGTACCAATACATAGTCAATATACAGTCCAGTACCAATACATAGTCAATATACTGTCCAGTATCAATAGATAGTCAATATACTATCCAGTATTAATACATAGTCAATATACTCTCCAGTATCAATACATAGTCAATATAAACTCCAGTATCAATACATAGTCAATATATTGGCCAGTATCAATACATAGCCAATATACAGGCCAGTATCAATACATAGTCAATATACCGTCCAGTATCAATACATAGTCAATAAACTGTCCAGTATTAATACATAGTCAATATACTGTCGAGTATTAAAACATAGTCAATATACTGTCCAGTATTCATACATAGTCAATATACTGTCCAGTATCAATAGATAGTCAATATACTATCCAGTATTAATACATAGTCAATATACTCTCCAGTATCAGTACATAGTCAATATACAGTCCAGTACCAATACATAGTCAATATACAGGCCAGTATCAATACATAGTCAATATACTGACCAGTATCAATACATAGTCAATATAATTTCCAGTAGTAATACATAGTCAATATACTGTCCAGTATCAATAAAAAGTCAATATGAAATCCAGTATCAATGCATAGTCAATATAAAGTCCAGTATCAATACACGGTCAATATATAGTCCAGTATCGATACATAGTCAATATACAGTCCAGTACCAATACATAGTAAATATACAGGCCAGTATCAATACATAGTCAATATAAACTCCAGTATCAATACATAGTCAATATATATTCCAGTATTAATACATAGTCAATATACTCTCCAGTATCAATACATAGTCAATATACCGTCCAGTATCAATACATAGTCAATATACAGTTCAGTATCAATACATAGTCAATATACTATCAAGTATTAATACATAGTCAATATACTGTCCAGTATCAGTACATAGTCAATATACAGTCCAGTACCAATACATAGTAAATATACAGGCCAGTATCAATACATAGTCAATATAAACTCCAGTATCAATACATAGTCAATATACTCTCCAGTATCAATACATAGTCAATATACAGTTCAGTATCAATACATAGTCAATATACAGTTCAGTATCAATACATAGTCAATATATAGTTCAGTATTAATACATAGTCAATATACAGGCCAGTATCAATACATAGTCAATATATATTCCAGTATTAATACATAGTCAATATACTTTCCAGTAGTAATACATAGTCAATATACAGTCCAGTACCAATACATAGTCAATATACTGTCCAGTATTAGTACATAGTCAATATACTGTCCAGTATCAATACTTAGTCAATATATAGTCCAGAATTAATACATAGTCAATATACAGGCCAGTATCAATACATAGTCAATATGCAGGCCAGTATAAATACTTAGTCAATATATAGTCCAGTATTAATACATAGTCAATATACAGGCCAGTATCAATACATTGTCAATATACAGGCCAGTATTAATACTTAGTCAATATATAGTCTAGTATCAATACAAAGTCAATATACAGTCCAGTATCAATATATGATAAATATGTCTGCCTGTATCACTATAAAGTATATATAAAGTCAAGTATCAATACGTAGTCAAGATACCTGCTAGTATCAAAACAAAATCAATATACAGGTCTATATAAATAGATACTAGTGTATATGCCAGCACGTATACAAACATTGTCAATTTACAGTCCAGTACCCAATGGTAATATGCTTCCTAGTATCAACGAATGGGAGATATAATCTCATAGTTCATATGATCAAATCTTAGCAAATAACCCAACCAGCATCTATACAAGGGAACCAGGAAATATATCAATAGTTGGCCCATACAGCAACCAGCAAAGAGCTTAGCTGGGCAAAAAACGAATTTTATTATATGTCTTTTTCTATGATGGATACAAAGCTTAGGGGAGAAAGCAATGATCTAAATGACTGTCTTAGTGGTAACACAATAAGTCTGACTTAGACAGAAGACGTACTTCCTATACTTCCTAATATAACTGTTTTGCAATGATTACAGATCAATGTTTACATCTAGCACTACGTTAGAGCATGATAAAGTTTGGTCGAAAATCCCATTTTGACAGCAACCAGACATATCGTCATAGCCAAATTCTCAATTTCAGGCTGGAAAGTAGAAGCGTTATTGGTTTTAGAGCCGTTTACTCACCTAACTGTCCAAATGTATTCACTCTATCTTGATTATGTACTTGTATTACGATATAGCCATATGAAGTAATGTATAAATAGTGAATATAAATGGTATACCACAAGAGTTTAAAAGAGTATCAAAATCACGATATCATTCATCATAACAGTAATCATTTTGTTTAACGTACTCTTCGTTTTGTTTAAACCCCAGGGTTGAAATGATGTGAAACAGTACGTGATGTAAGCCTTTTATTATGTTATGTAACAATCTATCTGACTACGTCGTTCAGTAACACCTACTAAGGCTATTACAAACGCCAGCAATCTGTAATGAGATGTAGTGCATAATTGCATAATTGTAGTGGAGCCCACTTTACTTTGTTAAAATCATTTTCTTATTTTTAAAAAAAACTCATAAATAATAAGAGCTGTCGGAGAACAAGTATAGCTCGCCTATTGGTGGTAGCTTTTCTCATAAGCTAGTAGGTATAAATAGAAACGTACCTTAACATGTTGTAGGTTGCTGAACAGAGTTTTTGTTATTATACAATGTAGGTCACCATATAAAATATGCATTTCATTAATATTTCAGCATTTAGAAGACACCAAAACAAAAGGGTAGACAACAACAGGTTATTAGGTAACATATAAACAAAAGGAAAGACAACAATAGGAACTGAAGTGACATCAAAACCAAGGGAAAGACAACGAAGGAAATTAAGTTACATCTAAAATGGAAAGACAACAGGAACTGAGGAGACACCAAAACCAAGGGAAAGGCAACAAAAGGAACTGGGGAAATACGAAAACATACGGAAAGACAACACTAGGAATTAGGTGACATCTTAACAAAAGTAAAAACAACAATAGAAACTGAACAGATACCATAACAAAGGGAAAGATAACAACAGGTAATGAGCAGACATCTAAACAAATGAAAGACAACAAGAACTAAAGAGACACCAAAACTAGGGAAACAGGTAATGCGCTGACAACAAAACAAAAGAAAAAACAACAATATGTACTGAAGAGACACCAAAACCAAGGGAACAACGACAACAGGAAATGAGTTGACATCTTAACAAATGAAAGACAACAGGAACTGAGGAGACACCATAACCAAGGGAAAAACAACAACAGGAAATGAGTTGACATTAAACAAATGAAAGACAACAGGAACTGAGGAGACACCAAAACCAAGGGAAAGACAACAATAGGTACTGAAGAGAAACCAAAATAAAAGGAAAGACAACAACAGACATTTAGGTGACATCAAAACAAAAAGAAAAACAGCAAACCTTAAGACAAGTTGAAAGTTAACAACAGAAAATAAGGAGACACAAAAAACAAAATGGACAATAACAGGTAAAAACAAAATGAAAGACAACTGAGGAGATACATTGTAGCAAATAAAAGGAAAAAAGGCACTATGAAATCTTGAGATGACACCAGGTGCCTTAGATGTTTTAATGTTTCCTGTAACACATGTCCTACCCGACCCGTCTGTGTCCAATATCTGACCTTTGACCCAGTGCTGACCCCGTACTGACCTGACACATAGAAGAGTTTGCTGTGTATCTCGATGTCCTCTGGAGTCCAAGTCTTAATGTACAGTGAAGTCAGTCTCTGAGCGTGGAACGGCGCCCAACACACAAAAAACGCCACCACTACTGCAACTGTTCAACACAAAGCAATCGCATAGACATTAAATGAGTTTGAAAAAAGTTAAATTGATACAAATAATATCATTATTATCAAGGTCACTAGAGACGAGACTTTCTACATCAGTCAAGTGCATCGTTCTTTTCTCTCAGCATAAACAACGTGATAGTTTATTCAACTCATTCATTTGTGAAGAGGGGATACTAAGAATTAAGCCCCTTTTCTACTTTTGGTTAATCCCTTTTCACTAGAGGCGGGGGCTTATTTGCGATCAAATACGGTTCACAGTTTTATTATACGCATAACAATTTCGATATTTCCTTTTCCCCTTTAATGATAGTTATATCCCGGTTTACCCCAACAAAATGTTTACATATATCATTGAATTCAATGTTCAATGGACTGCTCCAAACATCACGATCTTCGTGATAGAATGCTGACGGATAAACATACATCCCACAATTTTGAAAGTTTATGTTGATTGAGACTATGAGTTATATAGTCGTCATCATGACTTATTGGGAGATAGTCTATACACTACTAACCTCATGCATGTTTCTGGTAGCTTTTTTGTCATACCCTGTGTTTTTGATAACGTGACATTACTCGGATTTGATCTACATTTATATGGCGAGTGTCGTCGATGAATCGAAGGTCGCTTACCTTCGGAAACTCCCTTCCATAAAACATCCTTTTTCCTCTTTCTTCATATTTTGCCATAGTTTTATCGATTTGGGTTCAAATAATGGTTTAGCTTACACGTTCTTATTAACTTGTGTTTAAACTATGGAAAGTACAGAAAAGGTAATTTTGAACTCAAAACTGCCTTCGGATACTATCAGTATTATCATAAATGGTACCAATGTAACATTAATCAGAATGTGAGAAATAACGAATTCCAATGCTTTTTTAAAATATTAATAGGGGCTTTGCTAAAGTAATAAAAATCTTCGAATGAGTTAAGATTATATTACGGTGGTTTCCACTGATAATTTGGCTAAATAAGGATTTAGGATTTATTAAGATGCCACTGCACAAATACTTCACACAATTTGGAACAAAAGTCGAATTGTCACAATTGTTTCATTCTGGAAAGGTATTGATATTGAAATACCAGACAATGATCACACCCTAGGTGGGCCGTAAAGGTGCGATACTCCAATGTTCATGTCTTTAACCCAAAGAAAGTCAACACCGTAAACCATACGGTATTGTATCAATGTATACAAAACAGGCCCATGTTTACGTTATTTTCCTATATTTGGTGCTATACTGACGTGTTTGACTGCTACGGTATGATTTCCATAAAATACACACGATAACAGGAAATAGGTCTTTAAATCATACTCGTTTCCCCAATGAACCGATAACACAAAGACTAACGCAACATTTGTTCAAACAAATCACAATAATATTTCTGATTCGATTAAGGAATCTGGCATTTATCACATCGCCGCTTGAATCGGTGCTATAATAATTATTTACAAGTGTTTTGTTTACAGAATGATACCCATGAGACCATTTCTTCATCTAATGGTCTGCGTTAATTGTGTGTTTCCGTGATAACAGTCGACCTAGAGTAAGATTCTACATTTTATTGGTTAGACGTTCATTCATCGACAGTCTGCTGGTCAGCCAAACAACTAAGGGTCGTGTTTGGCATTAATGGACACTCGTGACGCCGTCCGTATGAACTATTTAGAGATTATAAAGCAGATTTAACTTGGTTTTATCAACCAAGATTTTGCAAAGAAATAATCAACCATAATGATAAAAGATAATGAGTCGATGTTATATATATTAAAGAGATATTTTGTTGGCTAGAATCAGTTCTAATCTTTCTGAGTACATGCTAGGGTTTATTGTTTTAATTTATTAATCAAAAGGATACAATGAAGCCGTGCTTATACGACTATTGCTAAACCCAGAAACGAATAAATCATATTGCTAACATGATATAAAGGATAGTCAATAGAAAATAAAACCAAAAGGAGTGCAATACCAACATTTCTAACAGCGATATTATATAAGGCATAACAGAACCAGAACTGAGTCAGAACAAAAACTAACATGATATCCTAACTAAAAATGTCTTCATTTGCTCTTCTGCAAGACTTCAATACAAACACGACAAATATCAGCGCTTCTTTAAGGAAAATGAAAATTAGTTCTGGTTTCAACGTCCTCGTAACATCTAAGAGCATATGAAAACAAAAAAATCACAAAAAAACTTTCTGTATGTGAGAAAAAAAGATAAAGATCCCGAGTATTGGGAATGGGTCAGAAGCTTGGGGTCTACAACGTCACTGTAGCAGAAGACAACCCCCCCCCTCCCCCCCGCCCAATAAAAAACCACAAAAAAACCCACAAAAAAACCGCACTCTGCAGGGGGTCCAACATAGTTGCCTCTTACGACATGCAGCTGGATACAGCAGGTCTATTAGTTCCCAAACCTACCGGGGATGGAATGGAAACATACTTTTGAGGTTATAGTCTTCACCTAATTCTCCACTATATACACTCATTATCTATTATACTTAAAACAACTACAGACGTGTATCTTGTCTGAAATAGATGGTGACATTTGTTGTTTCCTGGATCGGACGGAAGTCATCTGGTCGATATGGTATGGCATTGATATGGTGTCATTTGATATATTTGCTGAAGTAGCGTGTACCCTTCTGGAAAACATAGGGTGTTGTTAGTTGACAGGAAGAGGAATATGCGTCTGGCTCCGTCATATCAGAACGAAGCACACAAAATGATATGATTCAGGGGATAAATCCCATCTCGTTCACAGCACGAGTAATCGAAAACAGGAAGAACTCATATCGCGACGAGGTGCATTACAATATTTATTTCTTTTGTAATATCTTGGCTGCTGGAGGGCAAATACGAGATTGCATATTAATATGGTCATATTATAACCTTTTTATCACATACTGCACCTTATAAATATCTTAATAAACCTCAAAAGTATTAACAATCATACAAATGAAATGCAATTGAGACGTGATTTACTGTAACGTGTTGAACTAGAATGTACCAGATACGCCGCGTGCGGACGGATTTGAGTCGGGGCCAAGATAAGGCTCATGTTCAGCTATCCATACTGCGCGTGGCAAATCAACCAAATCACGGAGAAGTATACGGTTTGAGAAAATATGGAAAGGTGTTGATATGTAATCAGGAAAAATGAAGCTAAATGCTAGCTCATTTTAACTATTTATCAAAAGTTTACCTGTCCGCATTTAATCTTTGCAGCAATGCAATATGAATGTCACGTTATTATTTGCCCTGTGATATTTGTCAGACGCCATTTTCGTGTTTTTGTGAAGTTCTTGTGAATAGATGATTTTTTCTTCAGTAACACGTTTTTAGTTGTTTTGCGAGTCAATTTAAAAAATGCATATCCCAAACACCCTTAGTATACACCAATATACCGCCAACAGTACACGCTTCACACACGCACAAACACACAGGCATGCATTACACACATGGAGGCAGGTACTCAAATTATCTAAGTCTTAATGAGACGCTAAACCCAGTAAAAAAAAACACTATTTGCTTCTACTCTTGGTTATGTGTTTTTAAATGGTAGATGTTTTATAAGTTATAGCTGTTAGCATGGATGTTGACACTATAAAGATTCTTTCTATCGGTGAACACAATTATCAAACTCGTTTTACCAGCTGTATCATGTTTCAAATTACAGACGTATAAATAGAGCCTCGCAGTTATTTTGGAGATCGTTTCGAGCGAAATGATCGAAAAATAATTTAATTTACAGTTGATTACTTTCATATAAAACAAATTAGATATTGATATTTTATTCAATCTTTGCTTTAAACGGTGAAACTGACCTGTTTATTAAGAAACATAGTTTATACATAAAATCGATTTGTCAGGAAATGTAGTTAATCAAGTTAGATATAAATAGCTGAAATAAATTGCTTAAGAAACTAATCGAACGCATATTTTAAAATATAATCAAAATAAAAATTTGAAAATTTAAAAACGAATTTTAACTAATAGTGTTGCGTCTCTAATTGTCAGATGACAAAAATGTCTTTAACTTGTGTTTTGTTATTTCTATATTTGTAGTGCAGATGTCTTACACCCTATTAAATTGTATTTTTTTCTCTATTATAATTCTGTTGTTTTATTAAAACAACAGTCAGTTTTTTTATAAAGATACTACGAAAAAGGCAGGTTCAGCAGTAAACTCTTAATTCGGTTAATGGCTCTTAATTTATTGTTATTTATTCCAACAAATGAGACGCTGTGGTGGATATATTCCAATGAAGAATGTGTTTGAACATTTATTGGTTAATGGAGGTAGCCGCTCGTGCACATTTGACGGTATTTTGCTTTCTATTAATAGGTGTAATAGGTTTGTCAATGCTCTTTTGTTAACACATGAATGATGTAATTTGTTTTTACTTGCATGGAAATAATTTTGATAAATCATTTCTGCAGACTTTTTATGACAAATTTCGAATCAGCAACAGCATTATTAAAGTAGATACAACGGGGCCAATCTTGGAACTCCGATCACGCTCGCTCTAACCGACTGACATGCCTGAACAACTGGTCATTTTTGGCACTGTCGTAGTTAAGTTATATTCAAAACAAAATTCAGGGGAGGTAGAAGTGCAAGTAAGTATAAAAAAACTACATTGAAATTTTATAGTATTTTTGGTCTGCAGTTGGAAAGGGATACACAACTAACATTTTCAAAGGCACAGCGAACAGGTCTTAAATTATAATAGACTTAGAAATATCACATCCAAAAATCAAATCAAACAACAATGAGGTACGTGCGTTCTCGTCAGCCTAGATGCAAACATCCCAGTAGAATAACTGGAACAGAAATAGTTTGACACAATAGAACACTATTAATACCAACTCTGATTACGAAAACCAGCATAATCTGAAATCATATTGACACCCTCTTTATACCTAATCTCGCAATCGAAGTTATTTCTAAAATTTCTTCATCGCCTACCTCATG